AAAAAGAAAAAAGAAAGAAAGAAAGTTGCATCTCTATAAAATGCCCCACTATTAAGATAAAAACAAAGTGCTATCAGGAAAATCTCATTTCGCTGCTGCTCATACATGCACACTGAGTTACTGTGCCAGAACTGAACTCGTTTCCTCCACACCAGGCACTTAGACGGTCCCCATGCTCGTAAGGCAAGCACTTCAATAGCTGAGCCATCTCCGCAGCCCCATCTCTGCATATTTTAAAGGTGAAAAACACAATCTGGTTTTGATTTGTACTGTTTATAATTTCTGTCCAGGTATAACATGTCTTTGAATGAACAGCCTTGTGTGTGTGGTACTGGACTCTGAGTCTAGGGCCTCACGCACTCAGGGCAACCACTCTACCCCTGAGTCACCATCTCCAGTCCTGGTACGAACATTCAATGGAGGGTCCACAGCAATTCCTGTTTCTTTGCTGCTATCTACTAATGTCTTTGCTATTATGTTGTTGGAAGTAAAAAAAAATATAAGTATTAATAAATTAAAATTTTGATAACTCACCCCAAGTATGAATATGTCATGTATCAATTTTAACTGTATAAAAGCAGAGGCAAGAGAGATGTCTCGGTGTTAAGAGCACTTACTGCTCTTGCAAAAGACCTGGGTTTGGTTCACAGCACACACATGGCAACTCACAACCACCTTAACTCTAGTTCCAAGCCATGTGATGCCCTCTTCTGGCCTCCACACATGTAGTGTGCATTCAGGCTCATGACAATATACACACATTAAAAAAAAAAAATCCAAGATGCATAAAATTAGCCCGGCATGGTGGCAGTGCCTGCAATCCAAGCACGTGGGGGCCTGAGGCAGGGGGATAGTAAGTTTAAGGTCTACTGAACTAACTCCATAGCAACATTCTCAACTAAAATAATAAGTTAATTAAATAGGCGAATGAATGAGGGGGCCCAAATTACCCAAGGTCAGAGAATCTGAGCTTGCTTTGCCCAGCAGGGCTGCATAATGGGATGATTTGACCACGGGCATGTTTACCAGGTGTTTGGAAGGGTCTACACTTGGCTGTACATTGTACTTTGATCTTGCAAGGGGGAGATCTTTAGCCTCTCCCCTGAGCATATTATAAAAAGCCTTTTTGAATAAGCTTCTAAGCTGTTGGGTATTGACCCAGGCCCTCCTGAAGCTATACTGTGTCTCCTCATTGTCTAGGTCTATCTGATATTTCCTCACTCCTCTTTCCTCCAACTAAGAACCTTTTGATAGGTGGGAACAGGTCAGAGCTGGTCTCCCACAGACTCCCACAAAAGAATAGATAAAATATATGAAACTAACAGTCACATTACAAAAACATTTAACAAAAGTTTAAGCCTTGAGTAATAAAAGTGCTAGAAGCTTTGAATAATGGGCAATTTGCCATAACCTCAAAATTCTGATTTTTATCATCAATGTACACTGATAATAAAAATTAGATACATGGCACAGAGTTTTATAGTAAAAAAAAAAAAAAAAAAAACCTGTAGCTAAACTCAATTTCTATGACCAACAGCAGACATGTTAAGTAATTTTTTAAAAGATACACCCTTTTTAAGGCCAGGTACAGTGGTACATGCCTTTAATCTCAGCACTCATGAGGCAAAGGCAGGAGAATCTCTGAGTTTGAGTCCAGCCTGGCCTACAGAGTAAGCTCTAGGCTAGCCAAGGCTACATAATGAGACCTTGTTTCAAAGCAAACCAAATGATACACCCTTTTAAGTGAGTGTGCCCTTTGTTAGGTTCTCTAATGATGTTATAATGAGAAAGATAATCACCAAATGTGTAAAAGGATGACTAAGTTTGTGTAACGTGCCCTTGCTTAAAGAATAAATATGCATATACACTCTAGTAATGTTTTTTAAATGTTCTGACAAAATACACAGATAACTGTTCAGTGGTTTCCGTGAACGGTTAGAGGACAGAAGGAGCTGGATGACAGGACGTGTCATAACTGGGCTAGCTCTGCCTCTTCTATCCATGTACGTGAGTTACTCTGTGTGTTTCTTTCTTTTCTTTTCTGGGTGAGGGGAGAGCAGGCTCTTCTTATGCAGCCACCTAGCCTTAAATCTGCAATCTTGCACGAGCCTCCAAGGGCTGGGATTACCAGTGTGCACCCAATACCCAGATATTTTTCTTTAAAAAAATAAAAAAGGGATTATTTATTTTTACTTTATGTGTGAATGTGTGTTGCCTGCATGTATGTATGTGCATACCTGGTGGCCTAGATCCTCTAGAACTGGAGTTACAGACGGTTGTGAGCTGCCATGTGGTGCTGGAAATTGAACCATGATCCTCTGGAAGAGCACGCAGCTCGTGTTCTTCTAACCTCTGAGCCGTCTCAGCTGCTTCATTTGAATTTTTAAAAAACAAGATAGTCTATATCTACAACTTTTGAAAGAATTTGCCTTCCAGGCTCAACTTCAATTTTCTTTTCTTAATTTAAACAAAAAAATAATTTTAACAGACTGTCTTTCCAGTATGGAGGGCGCTTTAAAAGAAACTGTGAACAAAAACACATGTACCTTCAGATCAAGCCAAATAATCAGAAAGTTTACCCTTTAAGGGCTCTTAGAACGACAGCTCTGTGCAGACTGATAGTGAAGCCCGAAGCTCATCCCTTGATCCATGTAACAGAAGCCAGGAGGGCATCTGTCGGCTGGAGTGTTATCACACTTTAAACTCTTTTCCCTCAATGTCAGTTATCTATTTATCGCTTCTCTTTGGTAAACCAGCCGTAGTAAACACAGACACCTATGGTGACTTTGTAATTGGTCCTCATTACAATACCAAATTACTCTGAGGGCTTGGGAACAAGAAAGAGCATTCGTGTGCACCCAGGAGCTAAGCACTCTGACATGGAGCCAGGACACAGCACGCCACAAGCAGCTATCTTTGCTTACTTACATCACTAATATTCAAAAACAAAACAGTTGCTCATTTCAAGCCAATGGAAAGTTCTGAACATCCAAGACTACTAAGTTATTTTACATGATCCAAACTTCTGAGAATAAAGATCAAACACAAACAGTCCTGCAGGATTCTAGAACATTATACAAAATAAGACTATTTGCCTTAAATTTTTTCATTGCTGTTACCAATATATTTTAACTCATATATTTTCTATAAATGCATAGTCATTTTGCGAAGAACAAGTGAAAAAACGTTTTAAAAATATATAATGACGATGGCAGCCAGCATTTGAGTTTAGCAGAGCAGTTAGTCACTCACGGGAAGAGGTTTACTTAAACATGGTATTTGCAGTTTACCACAAAAACCTTTTCCTTGGGCACCTTTAAAACATATGCAGTGAAGAGATTCCACAGAATTCTTCAGCTACTTAGAAAGAACTTAAATGGGAACAAAAACACCATAGAATTTCAATAGTGGTTTTGAGTGAATAATTCTACAGTCTCTTCTTTGCTCTGAACAAGTCACTCTAGCTCGTTCACTGAACCCCTTACTTACACTACATAAAGCTAAATAGCTATTAAAATATGTCTTGAATAGGCATTAAAAAAGAACAAAACCCGAGTAAAGTCTCATCTGGTTAAAATAAAAAACCCGAGAAAGGAAAAACAATGAAAGATCATTCATTCATATTCTACGGTAGGAGTTGATCCGTCAGTGGGACAAAGCTCTTGGGACTGTCAGTCTTTTGTGTAGAATCAACTCTGATAAAGTAATAGGAAGACAAAAAAATTCAAAGTACACTACTATCACTGTTCACTTTATATACCGATTCACTGACTATTTCGGAGTACAATCTCATACTGACAACTTCAAATTTTCAAGCAAATTAGCTACACCAAACACAGACTCCCAAAATAATATTGTCCAGTATTAAAATGGTGTTTACAAAAGCATGTCTTCTCTCATTCTACCTGTCCTAAAAATTCATACCACTTCAATTTCCCTAGAAAAATGTAAAACCATGTATAACAGTTTTAAACTTAATAATCTCATATGTTTTTTAAAAAATTTGTACTAATTAGAACTATAAATTATAACAATCATGTATTTCAATGTTAAAAATTTCAAAATTTGCTCAGTTTAAACTATCTTGAAGTTTTTAAATATATAAAATACGATGATTAGATCTAATTAGATAATACTCTTAAAACATTTTTATCCCCTCAGCTGACATCACTCATGTGCAACTACTTTGGGTAGACGGATTTAAAAGAAAAACATTACATATGAATACAACAGAAATTAATGTCATGGAATTAAATATCTATAAGTTTTAAAAACCAAAATCTATCAGTTTAAATGTGAATTAAGATTTTCTTATGGTAAAATATTTTTCAAGAAATATCAAAGCTAGCAATTAATTTGGTTTTCATATTACTTAATGATCACTAGAAAAATACAAAGAACACGTATCAAGAAATTTCAATCTTTTCAGCCTTGTTTTTTTTTTCTCTACGTCAAAGTAACTTTACTCACCTGTTTTCCATCCAGTAGCTCCATGCACTTTTCATTTCTGTTGAAGTTGCCCACTACTTCGGGATGAACACAAGTATGATCCCTGCTGGAAAGGACGGTCATTGGGACCCCTGAGTAAGCTGTCTTTCGGAGCTCTCTAGTGATCTGAGCAATCTGCTTGTGTGTGCGGGTCCCAAAATAAATTTTGGGTCTCTTGGATTGTCCCCCGTGATCTTTCTTCAGAGTGTTTGCAGAGTCTTCACTGTGTCCTTGCTTAGTAGAACAGCAGCACCTAGAACACAGGCCATCGAGCTGAAAGAAGAAAAGAAAACAGGAACTGTCTGGGCTACCACACAACAAACGCTGTAACACCTCTCAGATCAAAGCCCTTAAGTAAGGATCCTGAGGGTCCAAGACGCTTTCAGATAGTACAGTCTCTAAATGCATCACCGAAGAGACTACACACTACACACAATTAGTTCTCCATCTTCTCAAAGCCATAAACAACACTTCCATCTTTACATTCTTTCTTACATAGTCAAGTCCAAATGTTTAACGCACATCTTAACACTTATCTTTTATAAAATTATAGTTTTTAAATGATAGGACAACACATTGGAAGACCATTTCAATTTCTCTTGGGTCACTGTGACATTACAGAACTGCTAGTTTTTCTCACAGCACGGCTTAACTATTCTGTGTTTTTAAAAAGTATTTGAAAAATGGTTAGCATAAGAGTAGACATAACAAGTTGAATCTGAAGCACCACTACAAAATGAGTCAAGAGAAATTCTTCTCTAGCAAAGGCATGAAAATGAATGCAGAAATATCAACATTCAACAGTGAGTAAAAACAGGTAGTTTGCATGGAACAAGTATGTCTGAAATCCAATTACATGTGTGAAATGAAAACCCACCAGAAAAACTGTGACCAGAATAGCTCACCCTGGACAAGCTCACTAGTAATTCAGTATCGTAAATGAAATCATGTAAACATCTTTTTAACACAGCAAAGGAACCTCAGAAATAGTCTAAAATTTACCTGATTTGAATTCCTGCCTCCAAATTCTGCCCTCCACCCCCCCTTTTTTTTTGCAAGTTTAATGCTATGAAAACTCACAGATTCTTAACTAACGGCCCCTTCAAAGCTTCAAGTCCTCCACCAAACAAGACAGAATAAAGCTTCATTTAATAGAAATGCTGTGAACCAATCACTGAGGGAAAAGGTGAGCAGCGCACTCATTTAGAAGAATTTACACTGGAAAGATTCGGTTTTTCAGAACAAATACTCCACTTACTGCATTAAAAACTGTAATCAGTAAGATTAGCCTTCATAAACAAATGCTAAGTCATAGTATGTTACACCACAATACTGGAGATCAAGCTGTCTTTTAGCCTCTGCTCAGTGGGAAAGCAAGTTCAAATTACTCCTCGTCTCGCTCAACCTTGTCCGCCATTAAATATTACAATGCATGATAGAATGGATGTAAATGTGACCCTTCTGGAGCTGTCACTCACGGGGATAAAAGGTTCACTGATGTGCCAAATAAACATTCAGTCAAAGCAGATAAAGTTACAGTCATGCTGGAATTGTTACATTCCCCTCTCAGGTTGCCAGTAACAGCAGATTTCATTACAGAGTGCTGCCACATTAAATAGCCAGTTCCAAATATCCTGCCTTCTATATTGAATAATTACTTATTCACTGAAAGGATAAAAGAAGTTATGAATGGGGCCCTTGTCAACAGTGAAGCAGGAAACAGCTGACTTGTGGTTTATGTTACATATGTTGCAATATCTAACAACTTATACTCACAGAGAAAATGGAATGCAAATTATATCATGATATTTGCACTAAATTGTTTTTTGGTGTCTGTAGTGACCACGTTAGTTAATTAACATACTAAGGAACTAAGGTAACTACAGTACAGAACCAGTTTACTTTTTCATATCTTCAGACTTTTTACTCAATTATACTCTTTCTCTTCCTATAACGCTGTTGAATTTACTGGACTATTACACTGCTAGGCCCATTAGATCATTTTGTCCTATATGGATATATTATATACAACCCTAAAAAAATTCAAAATTAAAATGGCTTGCAAGGCTTAGGAAACTCCCTTTTGAGGGAATACTTTTCAACATTAATTTCACTTAATATTTACTACGGACTTCTTTTAAATCTACCTTTTTTCCTGACTCCCTTTCAAAAAAGAAAGTACAGAAATACATAAGGTAAATTAACTACCACAAATACCTTAGTATTTAACTTACAGACCTTCACATATATGCAAACACCTTCATATAATTATTTTCAAATAAAAAGTAAATACTACTATAATAGTTTTACAACTTGTTATTTTGATTTGAAAATTTTACATTTTAAGATGGGTGAATTTGGCATCAATAACTCAGTTCTCTCTGAAAATGTTATATAGTAGCTCTATTAACAAAAGCTCATGATCATATTTTTTTAACTAGGATAGATTTAGACACCACCAATTTTTACATCATTAATTCAGAAAAGTATAAGCCACAGATAGTTTCATTTGAAAAGTGTTTTGCTTGTTAATTTTTAAAGTGATCTGAAATAATTATGCATCCACGAAATCAAGGCAGATGCCTTAAGCAAGGAAAACAAGACTGAAATTAAGACACTCATGTCTTGTTCCCATGTACTACTAAATAATAATTTCTTTAAAAGTGATCTTCCATTGAGGGTACTACTTAAAAGATCTGAGAAAATCATATTTGAAGATAGAAGATATGACAGCAGAATAAAAGATTTTAAATAAGCATTTATCTAATAACAAAAAGGAGCTGTTTGTATTGAAATTATTAACTTTCAACGCTGAAAGAAAACACAAGATAGGATCTGGATAACAGCAATGACAGAAGATTAGAATACTCCTTGACCCATGAATAAGCTGCTACTTTATGGCCTTTCTCTGAAACCTTTGGACTTAAGAGTACTGAAGCCATCAGATGAATAAAAGTAGGCCGCTCTGCAGCTCTGGCTAGCTATTTCTTTGGCTAGCAAATAGGTTTATTTTTTCATAGAATGGTTGCTTTTTGCTACTGTTCTTTAAACGTATAGAATTTTTATCACTACAAAATAAAATTTAAAACTATTAACTCTCATCCAGCATATTAAAGACCAACAACAGGTAAAACACACGTTCCCCCAAAATTATCAACTCTATAACCTGTAAATGTCAATGAGTTATGACCAAGCTCTGTTAAAATGGTTTCCTCTTCACTTCTAGAAACTACCTTCACTTTAACAAAAGGCAATAAAATCCAAGATCCATAGCGGCAAAAGCAAAGTATCATTTAAAGACTATTACAGGGGACACATGTGGACAGGACAGGAGTCACCTGCTCAAAAATTCTCAATGGGAATGGGAAGCAAGCAACCAAGAATATTTAGAAAATTTTCCATGTGTTCAATAATGTCTAGTTTCTCTCTTGTCCTATTGTATAAAGATACACCTAAGTTCTCTGAAAGAGAGAAGGATTACAAGTTTTGATTTTGAGAGAAATGTCAGCTGCTCAGTCTTTCCACTGTTCCTTGCACAAAGCTGTGATGAGCAACCCCAAATGTAACATACTAAAACATCAACCACTTAAGTATCACAGCTCTCTCCAAACTTTCCCTACACACTCCTTGAAAAATAAAATTACTTGAAAAATAAAATGAGCAAGGCTATGAAATATTTTTAGAAAAGGATAATTAGGAAAGAGAAGTTAATTTCACTGTCAACACTGGGGCAGGAAACAAATGGCATTGGTTGATGTTACATACATTGAAACATCTAGCAACAGGACCACAGAGAAAATGGGAATTCATTAAGTGACTCTGCTACTGTGTGTACCACATAACTTCTAAAAGCAGGCTACGGATGGAATCCCCAAAGCAGGCCAAAAAGAACATATTTATTATGAACAAAATAAGTATTTAAGCCAGGTGTAGCGGCATACACTTGTAACCCAGCACTTGGGGAGTGGAGGCGGGAGGATCAGGAGTTCAAGGGTATCCTCAGCGACATAGCAAGTTTGGAGACAGTTTGAGACTCAGTCTGGAAAACATGCATATGTGTGTGTGTGTGTGTGTGTGTGTGTGTGTGTGTGTGTGTGTGTGTGCTTGTGTGCTCTCCCTTTCTCTCCCCCTGCAGAGAGAGAGAGAGAGAGAGAGAGAGAGAGAGAGAGAGAGAGAGAGAGAGAAAGAAAGAGAGAGAGCCAACTATGTGGAGGGGAGAATAAATTAAAAAAAAACCAGTAATTCACATTTCCCCTAGCTTTCAGCATGCATAGCTATTTTTCCAACCCACTACAAATTCCTCAAGTACAGCAACTCACATTTCTTTGCATAACTCATTTCCTGAGTATGTAAGTGTAACTTAAACTGTTTCCATTGGAGGACTATGACCCAGTGTCCCCACACAAACTACTGTAGCCCAATATCACATTTTTAAAGCCTGATAGATACTTAAGTTCTAATTTAAAGTAAATTAAATATGATAAAGGTACTCAATAATCAAATGACTACCCTTTAAAAGCAAAAGCATGAGATAATTTACTATTTTTTTAAGTCAAAGAATCATCTTATGCAAATATTTGAGCCACTTTATCTGCAAGCAACAAATATATATACTGAAAGGTTCAATATTAATAATTACCACTTATTAAAGCTGTCTCTGAATGAGGCCCTTCACACTCGGTATCCCATTTCATTCACCCATTCAGTCAAGAAACTTTAGAATCTTGGTTCTACCAAGCCAAGTAGAAGACAATGACAGGGGTCACCAGCCTCATCTACAAAGAGGGCCTCTCTCTCTAACTGCTCTACAAGGGGTAGTCTGGAGAGTTTACCAATACCAGTTTCATGAATTAAGAAATTGTTTCTAGTTAGTTCTGTGTGTGCCTTAATTTTCTGATGCAATTGCAAAATATTCCTAGGATAAACTATATACTTAAATTCATAAATGACTTAAGCCTGTTGTCTGAATTAAGGACTTTATATCAAGATCCATGTTAAGTACAACAAAGGAGTGGAGAGGAGGATCTTTCCATCAGAAACGATTTACAGCAACAGTCAGCAAACTTGTTTCCCTAGCAAACGTAGTTCAAGGGTCAGAGTATAAATATTTCAGGCTTTGCAGGCTATAAAATCGCTGGGCACCTTTAATCCCAGTATTCAGGAGCAGAGGCAGGTGGATTTCTGCGAGTTTGAGGCCAGCCTGGTCTACAAAGTGAGTTCCATCCAGGACAGTCAGGGATATATAGAGAAAGCCTATCTCAAGAAAAAAAAAA